ATAAGACTTTTTCCATAGATAAATGTTTCGACTTTAGAGCTGTTACAGTTTCTGCCACAGAAAGAAGAAAATACCATATTTACTTTCATATTTTCTCCTCCTCTTTCCTCTCTTGCTCTTTCCCCGCTCTTAGAAAGAGGAAACTCAAATTAGAAGTCATCAATCAAGTGAAACTTTCAAATTTGAACTCTACCAATCAAGACTATCAAGATAACGGTCTCTAAGCTCTATAATAAAGGTCTACAGCTCTATATATGAAAATACGTGCTACAAAGTTGTAAGAGCAGAAACTTTAAATGCTTATCCAGAGACTAAATACTTTGTGCTTTTCTCCAGAGCATAAAATCGTTACACACCCTTCATGAGGGAATCAAATGCTCCTGAGATAAATGGGTCTGGTGAAAAAGCTCTGATCTAGAAAGAAAAAGTAGCAATCACAGGGATGTTTATTCTGCTACACACAAAGCTAAGGGTTTTATATGTCTTCTTACTTAATCAAATAAACTATGATGTGAGTATAAGCATCTCCAAAGGAGGAGTAACAAAGGAGTGGGAATTCTAAATCAAGATGACTCTATTTTTTTTTTTATAAATGAATGAATATGACATAAATAAATGAAAAATCACTTCTCTGAGTTTCTTGATAGGTGCCAATACTGTAATGCTTTCCTTGGCCGATATCTTTTGTTTCTTGATTCCATACAATGCTGGATGTTGATAATGCAATGACTGTGAATCACTAAAAACAAATCACTATCAATATCCTTAGAAGAAGTATATCATGCATGTTCTACATAATACTTAGAAAACTTCTCTGGAAAATGAAATCTTTGTAGATTAGCACTTTCTTCAAAATAATGGCAATATTAGAATACTGAGCAAGAGGGAAATAAAAGAAAAACTCAAAGTATGTGACTTCATTATTTCTATGCAGTAGGCATTTCTAAATGGCATGCCTAACCAAATATACATATACTTATGATGAGGATTCCAAACGAAATTTTAAATCCTTAATCTTAATGCTTTATTCAAAACTTTGCTTTTCTCCATCCAATGTACTTTTATTACATGCATTGTATGTTTGTGACACTAGCATACATAAAGAGAATAAAAGTAGCTATCATATCAAATACATGCATCCAATCTGAAGGAGTCATAAGAACAACCAGGAGATCATGTACAAAATGAGATGAATGCTTATAAACAGTTTCATATCCTGTTTATGAAAGGAGATTGAAAACATATGCAGATTACACACTGATTTCACTAAAATATTGTATCCACCCAACAATTAAAATTGGAGGACTGACTCTTCAAAGCTCATTAGCCAGACATGTTCATTTACATTCTGATACTGCTTCTTACCATAAGGTTCCACAAGCTCCAGCAGAATTTTATGCAAGGAGCTTACACAATTGTATAATTTTATGCTGACAAGACAGTAGATCAACACTTAAGAGAAATAATATGCTGCATACATGACTGTCAGACACTAAGAGATTCTGTGGCTAGGCTCTCTTCTTCAAAATGAGGATCAGTTGACACACAGGGTGGGAGGCATTAAGGTGTGTTTCCTATGAACTTGAAACTGACCTGAACACAAAGGAATTCTACCTGACCAACAGTAGCTACTGAGGTAAGGGTCCTTGTTGGTTTATGCAACTGATAATTTCAGGATTAAATCTTTTTTTTTTTAATTTTAAGTACTCGATTAATATTTATTTCAACCTCCTTTAAATATTTTTTTCACATTTACTGCACTATATGTAACATAGTATGCTGTTAGAGTGTTATTTTTTTACATGCTGCCTTGACAAAACAAATCATTTTAATACAGTGATAGAAACATTTAAGTAAATGTAATTCTGGGATATGAGATCACATGTTACAATATTGATTTGGAAGAAGCTGGTGAAACCTACCATGTGGTAATGGAATTTACTATGGATCCAACATCTCTCTCAAATGCAAAAGACTCTTACTATTTATAAGGGTTACAATAATTATTATTAGTTTAAAGGCTCAGAAAGCGAGGCCATCACAAAGTACTAAGAAGCTTGAAAAAAAAAAAAAGCAAGTGTCCATAGACCAACATTCATCATCCTAATAACAAAGACCCATTCTAGTTTTTTTTGTTGTTGTTGCTTTTTTTCTGGTCGGTCGTGGGCCTTGAAGTCTGGGCCTGAGTGCTGTCCCTCAGCTTTTCAGCTCAAGGCAAGCGCTCTACCACTTAAGCTACAGTGCCACTTCTAGTTTATTGGAGATGTGAAGGGTAAACAAAGGAGGAGGCTGCAACGCTTGATAAGAAATGTACGCATTATCCTGCCCATGTAATTGTAACCTCTCTGTACAGTATGTTCACAAAAAAAATAAAATTAAATAAAAAAAAAAAGAGTTTCAGGGACTTTCCTGCACAGGCTGGCAGGACTGCGATCCTCAGATCTCAGCCTCCTGAGTAGCTAGGATCACAGGGGTAAGCCACTGACGCCTGGCCCCACTCTAGTTTTTAATTACTCATTCTATTACGGTGTCACACATAATCGTCTGAAAAGCAGGGCTATTTATTGGTGAAATAGAGTTCATTGAGTATTGTCACTAAGGGATGTGTAACCATAACCCACCCTTCAAGGAAACATTTATATTAGGTCATCAGGTTCTGTTTCGTCCTAGGCAGACGTAGTCAAATCAAAGGTTGTATTTCTCTACCTAATGATCACATATAGTGCAATATGGTGATCCTATATAATGTGCTAGCAACTCTCTTGTATTACGTAAAGAGCTATCGCATAAGTCATGGTTCACTAGCATGTATCTTGGAGCATAGCCCTGGAGTGTGGCACAAAAAATCAAATCCTAGCTTAATCCTTTATCAATCATGTGATCTTAAGCTATGCATATTCCTTTTCTGTAACATCAACTAAGTTACTCCTTTATTATATATAACTACTCTTTCTCATGACTAAATGAGATAAAAATCACTTCATGCTCTGCCACCAGACATAATCACAACAAACTGGAAAAAAAAAAAAAAGTGCTCAAACCAAGTGCCAGCCACTCACACCTTTAGTCTTCCATACTCAAGGCTAGAACTGATAATAGAGGTTTGAAACTGGTCAAGGAAGACCAGTGTCAGAGACTCTAATCCTCAATTAACCAGCAAAAAGCTAGATGTGGAAGCATGATTCAAGCAGAAGAGCTTAGGCATGAGCAGAAAAAGCCAAACCTCAGGCCTGAGTTCAAGCCCCAATACTAGCACACATGCTCACACAAAGGAAATCCTCATACTATGTTTATCTAAATACCAACAAATTGATCACTTAAAACAATAGCCTGGATTCTTAGAGCAGGGACCTTATCTTACTTGTCTTTCTACCCCCACACGTATAAAGCCTAACATAATATTATTGTTGAAGAACACAAATTATGAGATCTACAAGGATAGTCCAAAAAAGCCATTGGTAAGCCCTGTAACATTCACTTCTGAAATACGATTTCTCTTCCCTGTCTTCATCTTCACTAGCAGCACCTGAGTGCCAGCTCCTCACATCAATCATGGCAGTTGTCTCCTGAGAGCAATATCTACCTCTGGCTTTTCTCCAATCTTCCTTTTCAAGATAAAGGAATCTTTGCAAAGTATGAACGAATCTGATCACACCTCAAGACTCTAAAGCTGCAAGAATAAATGCAAAGGTCTTAATCTGCTGTCAGGAGTGCTCTCTGTGGTCTGCTCTTTACATCTTGTATCAGCTTTCCTCCTCTCTTTTTCCCTTTACTCTTCCCACTGTGATTTCTTTCGGTATTTCACATTCTTGAAGTACTGAATTCCACAAGGAGAAATACCTGTTTTTACTACCCAGGTGCCTTGATAGTATTTAGTACTTTGTTGAGTGATTTTCATAAACAGTAAGTTCTTAAGAAACCATTCAGGTATACCTCAACCCTACCCTGTAATCATTTTGAAAAATGCAATAATTATAACAAAAACGCAAAATGCATATATGAAGATGTCACAAAAAATACAAAATAAAAGGACAACTGGAAGAAAACACAAAAGTGATTTTTTTTTTCCATTTTGAAAATACATTTTCTCAGCATTAAAGCTCATTTGTTTCAAGTTGAAAGCAGATGCTAATTGTATGATATTTTTTCTTCCCAGGACTAAAAGCAAGGAGGAGCTTTGCAGGAGAAATTGAAGTATAGCACAATATTGAATGCATCCCTGAAATACAATCATCTGACCACCTAAAGGCCTTTAAACGCATGATGGCTTAATCAGACTATTTTTAGTACAAGTTTCCAAGTTCTTGCTAAATGAATACCAACACCATCTGCAAGAAAGGCCTGAGTGGCAGGGAAGCTGTGCTACAAATTTACTTTAAAAAAGAAATACAAGCACTTAAGGCAACTAGAACTGAGTTTCTCTGACCCTTCATTAGATGGCAATATTAAGTTCAGAGGGAAGTTAATGCTAAACTTTCTACGTGCAGTTTTTAAACTACCTATTACTTGTCACATACTTAATCAACTGCAGAACGTTAGGCAAGCAAGAAGCTAGAATGTAATGTTCAAAACTTACTATCTTAAACCTGTGACGAAAGAAGTCAGAGGTTGCAGAGATCTGATCATGTTAACAGGGGAGAAAATAACATCTTTTGCTGTCTAATTAAGACGGTGGGTAAGGTGACTTGTGATAAAACACATTCAGCCAATTCTCATCTTGGGATCTGCCCGGGCATAGCCAGCCCATCTTGAGATCTGCCCAGGCATTGCCAGCCCATCTTGGGATCTGCCCGGGCATGGCCAGCCCATCTTGAGATCTGCCCGGGCATAGCCAGCCCATCTTCTGACTAGGGCCTACGCCTTCGCACCATAAAGTTTAGACACTGAGAAGCCCTAGGAAGCCAGCACCAAAGCAAATACATGGCACGATGGATCCTGAGAACCTGAGTATGTGTAATCGTTTTCGCCCTGCAGGCTCCAGGCCAGGTGGAGCAACTCACCTGGAAGGAGGCATCAGCCCCTGAGTCTGCGCGGGGCAACCCTGGCAGGCTCAGCAGAGCGCTTCCCCGCACGCCGGTTACCGCCTGGCCCGGGACAACTCGCGCCCGAATCTCCTCCCCATTCGCGGTACATCCCGGTCCTTCCACCATCTCTCAGAAATCCGCCCTATGTCCTACTAGTTGCAGACCAGACAGCAAAACTGCTACGCTACTCAACTTTCCCGCCCGCACAGAAAGGAAGTTCAAATCTCCCGCGCGCTAAGGCCCCTCCTAGCCCCTCTCCGGCCCCGCCCAGTCCCGCCCTGCACCGCCCACTCCCGCTCTGGCACCGCCCAAAACTCTTTCAGGCCCCGCCCCACACTCCCAGGTCCCTCCCACAGCCCCGCCCAGGTTTGGCTTTCGGCTCTCTGATCGAAGGGCCCTAGCTTCCCAAATAGCGCATGCGCAGTAGCTAAGGCGCCAAAGTCCTTTGGGTGGAGCCAGTGTCGACTGAGTGGAGTCAGATAAACCAAGCTCAGCTCTAAAGGCAGAGGAACTGGAGAGCTTCCAAACCTCAGTCCTTTGCTTTAATGCTTCACCTTTGTGTTCAAGCTCCTCAGACCTCGCAGGTTTTCTGATCTGATTTTCTTAGCTCTAGAATTGTTATTGTCACAGAGCTTCTGTAATCATGCACCCTATCCAAAGGTAACTAAGAAGAGAGGCTGCATTAAGGTTTTATAGACTGTTTGCTTGCCTTTTCTCCTTTAGGTTTAGCGTATTAGATAAAATGGTTTTCTATGCAAAATACACATTAGCGTCTCTATTAAATACCTCCTCATTTAAAAATAGCTAAAGGAACTCTGAGCAGAACCACAGACCCATCTTTTTGTTGTAGCATGTCCTGCTAGCTTTGTAAAAAGTAAGGCTGTATGTAAATTTGAGGGCAATGCAGTACATAGCTTTTCAAGCTTACTTGTAATCCTAAGAAAAGACAGACACATATACATATAAGTTTATGATGCTAAGTGACTCCATACAGTTTTATTTGAAAAATAGCACACATTAAAGCAATGCCAATTGGTAATTGATTTTATAAATCATAGCACTGTTCTGTAGTTAAGCCAAAATATGTGTATGTGTGTATATGGGTAAGTCAGAAGAATATGTGTGTGAGCATACACACTAGAGTCTTAATCATTAATTACTTAATTCTTGGTGGAGAACAAGTAGTGGCCAAAGTTAGCCAGATCAAGTTCACAAAAACTTGTACTTTACTCCTTTGTTCAATTTTTGCTTACTTTTCAAAGTCATGCTGTTAAATAGGAAAGAATTGTCCATAAACTCTAATTCAGTTATAATCATTTCCCTGTGATAGAGGAAAGTTCTAGATAGCTTTTTCATCCTTACTTTTGCATTATTTTGTTTATCAAATTACCTCATTTTCTATAAACTTTCATAATTTGTCGATCAGTATTTGGCAATTGTCTAGGTGTATAATTTGTCAAAAGGTTACAGAGTAGATGCTTGGCTAGAAGAAGCTATCTAAAGAGTTGACTCTGGTTAGAAAGACACTTCTGAGATGTTCACTTGCATAGTCAACAGCTTGAGGTATCAGTTCTCTTCTAAAAGATGTGTCTATAGAACTGTGTTGCTCTTCTCATGATGTAGCAGTTGACAGAGAACTGGAATGAACCTGGAATCTCCTTGGAATGCCTCTTAGCACACAACTGCCACTTTTCCACATGACCATTTGCCACCCTGCCATGTGATAGTATCTGGCACAGAATGAGGTGTGGCCCTTTGATAGAAACAAAATATGAAGTTACCAGCCTAAAGTTAATTATTATATCAACCCAAAATCAGTTAAGATACTTTCCTATAAATACTAAAATTTTTCCAACTTTTAAGACTTTCAGAAATTTTCTAGATAGAGACAGAATTGATATTGTGTATTATGTAGTTGGTCCTTCTGAGAACACATCAAAGCAATGTATGCGGGAGTTACTTGCATTGATACTGCTTCAGAGCATAACAGGAATGTAAATGTCAAGCTCATCTTTATATTTTCAAAGCCCCTAGGATTTTCTATTAGACATTTGACAATTGGAAAAAACAAATGAAAAAAAATCATAAACTTGCAATACTTATTTACAATTCATTTGCTTATTGATCTGAAATCTGGATTTACTCTATCTACTAAGGTAAACCCAAAATTCCATTTAGTTTATGAGAGGAAGTGAAGAGATATGGTTTGGATTCATCTTTGTTTATTCTTCAGTTGGGATAGTTGTTGATGGTATGTGGGTAGAATTTCCTGTGTGATGTCAAGTTCATAACATTCTGTACAAAATTTCTAATTCCTCTAATAATTACCCTAGATTCTTTGTGCTTCCATGCGCCAAGGCAAAGCTTAAAGTGTTCTGCAAATACTCTGTTTTCATACTTCACAGTAATCCTCTGAGGTTATACTCATTAATGTCAGTCTCATTTTACAAATGAAGGAACCAAAGCACACACTGAGGAAGGAACTAAGGAAAACCACTCACTCAAAGACACAGACTTGGGATTTAACCAAGCTAGTTGTACTCTTAGCCAAATATTTTCAGCAACGTTAATTATGTTACACTGGCTCACAACCAACTATCTTTAGTAACAACTTACAAACAGTGATTTAGAGAAGGGGAAAAACAGAACTTTTAGTCAGCCTGAGATGGGAATTAAGGACAATTTTAAAACTTCCTTCAGCATATTTTGTTTTGACATATTTTGGATTGTGAAACTTTGTGGATGTGAGATATTTTTTTCTTTAGCTGGAATGATTTTTTTTAAAAAATACCACAGGAGGAATTTCTTTAATTTCTCCAAATATATATATATATATATATATATATATATATATATAACCTGAATATATTTCACAACTACAGAGATAACATCTATGCTCCTTCTAAGCTCTCTTACTTTGAGCTATGAATGGAGAAAACTATCATCAGTGAACATCAGATGCGGGCGTTTTGGGTGATATTAACTAGTTTTCAGATTCTAACCATTAAGGGGAACTTAACATTAGATCACCAGAATGATATTCAAATGCACAGTAACAGAAACTAATTGGACACTTTCATTGTTTGGAATATATTCTGAATGTCAGAATATATTCCAAACAATGACAAATTCCTTGTGCGTTGTTACATTAATCAAGGTTGGAATGTGCCAGGTGACAGGTGTCAACCTGCAAAGTCAAAACTAAAATGGGAAAAGAAGCAGCCAGACATTCTTAGTACAAGAAACTATGACTCTCAGCCTTTCCAAAGTGCTGTGAAATCTATGACTGATACTTGTTTTCATTCTAGTTTTGTGTTCCCAAATTCTTATGAGGCTGATATATTTCTGATATGGTTAAACAAATTACCAAGTAAAGAAAAGTAACTTCCTAGTATGAATCTAAATTTGGGGACAAATAATAACTAAATAATAATTACATGCAAAAGAACCAAAATAATCTCTCTCTGAGGGGTTATCTCGGAGATGGAAGAGAATGGGAAAATTAATTTCCTTTGTGTTTTGAAATACAAAAAAAAAGATATTTTCTGCTAATGTCTTGGAGCAACATTTTTCATCTATTGCAGCCACTGGCATGTGTATTCAAGTTAGGCAAGACAATTATGAATAATTAATATGATTAATTTGATATGCTAAGAGGTGTTGATATTATTTTGAAAGTAATGGGGTATGAATAAAGCAATCTATGCAGGAGAGTCACATGACTCAATTTGTTTTGTATTGTTTTGTTTTGTTTTTTGTTCTTTGTTTTGAAAGCATTCCTCAGAATTATGAAGCAAACTTTCAGATTGGGATCAGTTTTGATCCTCCTCTGACCCTTGGTCACACCTGGAAGAAAAAATGATGTTAAATTACATCTAATGGATAGAAGGCAACTATGCTGTTAAATGTCCCACAATGCACTGGACTAGCTACTATAACAGAGAATTATCCCTCCAAAAGTCTACACTGTGTGAAATTCAAAAAACTGTATGTAAAGCTAATATTGACACTATGTCAAAAACGTTTAGATTCTATTTTCTGGAGCCTCTAACCTTCCCTTGCATGATAAAAGGGACACTTCAATTATGGTTAAATGAAGACTTTTGTGTATTTGTTTCCTTTGGCATTACTGTTTTATTTGCCAACTATTTTAAAAGATGTCCTTCTCCATAAGTCTTGTCTGATTATTAATGCAAGGAATTAAAAAAAAAACTACACAAGTACAGGGTACACTTTTTGTATGTGTGGGACAAATTGAAAGACAAAAAGGTATCAAATCTTAGAAAATAATTATTAGATTTTGATCTTAAAAATTAGATTTCTAGGCTAAATTTGTTCTAGTCAGAAGATCCATGAAAGTAATTATTCTTTAAAATGAGAATTTCCACTACAGACAGAGGAACAACTCTTATCTGACTTGATTGAGACTGAAATGAGGGAAGGGTTTAGTGAGAAGTTTCCATTAAGAAACAAAAGCTGAAGAACAGAAATCTCACTAGCTTTCAGCTTGCATTTCAGCCAGGGAATTAAATCACTTCAGATTGAAGACCAAAAGTACAAGCATACAACTGGAATTATTGTCTATGAAATCTATTTACAGGTCAACCTGTCATTTTTAAAGATCGCCAGTTTGTATACCCAATTGCTAAAATGAATAGCTGGGTAACTCTGAAGGCATAATCAATCTGGGTGCTTATCTGATAGCTATCAAGGCACAGAGTAGGAAGGAAAAAACTAGGGGAAAGCACAGAAACTTTATCAACTTTCACATGCTACAAAGAAACGTTCTTTTTTTTTAATTTTTATTTTTTTATTGTGAACATACTGTACAGAGGGGTTACAATTACATGGGCAAGATAATGAGTACATTTCTTATCAAGCATTGCAGCCTCCTCCTTTGTTTACCCTTCACATCCCTTCCCAGCCTCCCCCACCCCCCCCCCACCAAATCCCGTCCCCGCACCCAACCCTCCCCCCCCCACCAAAGTTCGTTTTCGACATGACAACTTGTACTTCTCGTTGTTGCAACGGGTCCATCTGTATCCTTATTTAAACGACTTGTTTTTCCCCTTCCCCTCCACAAATTATACCGACATCAAATATAGTGAAAGCAGGGGTTATACTGTGGGGGAGGGACGTACAAAGCAACAAAGAAATAATCTTATAAATGCGTTAGAAACAAAGGCATGAAA